TTTTCTTCTCACAGAGCATCAGGTGACACAAAAGTCTCCGAGGCTCCATCGTGTTTCCGTTGCCCTGTCTGCACAGCGCTTTGTTAGTGTATGCCATCGTCTCCCATGATTTCTACTCTCACATAATGCCAGTGAGTTTTAGCCACCCCTTGAATTGAATCAGAGAAATTCTGTGATAAGCTGAGCTTGGTGATCCACATCTATAGTTCCAGCTACCAGGAAGGCTGAGGCAGGAGGATCACTTGAGGTCAGGACTTTGGGGCTTATCTGCACCTCCATCTCTTAAAAAAAGAAAAAAAAGAAAAATTTCTGTATGATAATGGTTCCTGTTGCATTTTTTTAAATTTGGTCATACTGGGGTTTGAACTCAGGACCTTGCTCTTGCTAGGCAGGAGCTCTACCTCATGAGCCACTGCCTAGCCCACTTTTTTTTTTTTTCCCAGTAGGATCTTTCTTTTATGCCTAGGCCAGCCTGGACCTCAGTCATCCTATTTATGCTTTCAGCATGCCTGGGATGTCACGGTTCCAAGCTTTTTATTGGCTAAGATGGGGTCTCATGAACACTTTGTTAGGACTAGCCTCAAACCTTGATCCTCCTGACCTCCACCTCCCAAACACCTTGGATTAAAGGTGTGAGGTACCACGCCCAGTTCTTGTTGCATTCTCATGAAAGCAGTTATTTAATTGAGCTTACCAGTCATCAATTTCCCAACTACTTCCTAATAACCTGAGAGAGGTTACTCTGCAATATTTACTCTGAATTATAATCAAGTAGACCAATTAAATCTGAAGAACTGGTTATTAGAGCTTTTCTCCATGTTTTGTAGGGGGTGGGGAAGAGATCAGTAATGCGATGGGTGTCCAACGTTGGGGATGCTGGCTGGTTAACTATGCCATTGACTGGGGAGACTGGTCACATGATGCAGGCCACTGACCCAACAGCCTTGCTGCAGAAGGACTTCCTCAAGCTTCAGAGGGTGGGGACAAGAAGGCGGGCATGGAGCTGTTTTGATCCTGTAGCTGCACATGCCTGCAGGTCTACATGGTAGGATTTAGAAAGTCCTATTTTTAAAGGCATGACTGTCGTTTTCTAAATTTAAGAAGATGGACCCCCAGTAATTGGTGCCAGTGTTGACTTGGCAGTGATTCATACAATATTATTATTTTCTTAGAGTATTCTTGCTGCTACTATGAGCATTCTCTTGCCTGAGAGACATACGTAATTAAAAGAGCACTGTGAGGAGCCTCTGTTTAGGGCAGTGTCTCTGCCTAGAACCCTGTTGTCCAACGGTTTCTCAACTTTTCTTCCTCTGTTGTTTCTGAACCTACTGGTTTATATTATGGTACACGGTGTATGATCAAAAATACTGCTGCCTCTATTCAACTAAGCTGCTTCCCATATTCTGTCAGAAATAACTGAGGTGTCTAGAGGACCGGGAGAGGTTACGGTGACATGCTAGCCTCATTTATTGGAGCACCATGATTATTCCTCACTCCTGATGCCAAAGGACTCTGCGGACACATGCTCCTCAGTGTTAACATGTGTACTTCTGGCCTTCCCAGCTGGGGACTGCACAGCTCACACCTCTATGTGTTGTACTTTCTTAATATTCTGTCATTCACATAAATTTAGGGCTTTGTGGATTTGGTAACTGACCCAACCCTAAAACTGTGTAACACTTTTACTTGGAGCATTTGTAACTATAGTTACAATTCACATATCCCTAGTTTCTTCTGGTTACTTCTCTGTAATCACCTGGATGCTGTATGGATTAAAACTCTTATTCAGTTTAGTTACATTGAGTTATTTTCTAAAACTGAAAAGGATTGTTTATTAAATTCCCAGTGTTGCCTCCTTTTGTTCACTGCTGGCAATTTTAAATTAAGAACATTTTTTCTTCATAATTCCTACAGTTAGCAGAGTTTAGCCTTGTCTGTGTTTTCCCAAGTTGAACTAAAGTGCACAACTTTCTGTAACATATACATTTCGCCTAACTTTACTTTTCTAAAAACAAGACTGTTGAGTTTTTCTTCAGGTCATTGTTTGGAAAATAGGCCTTGTGCATCTACCAAGCTGTGCCTGTGTTTTTAACACATGCTTTGAAGTTTGACGTATGTCAGAAATATCACTGTAGCTTAGGAGCTTTGTCTGTCCTTAGACATAGAAATATCTTGATTCTGGTTTATGGTAAAAGTATGGTTTTCTTTCCTAGTTTTTCTCTTCAAGAAACAAATGAAATAGTCTTACAGAAATACAACCTCCCACCTTTGTGCTCAGAGAAAGAATATTTAATTATATTCTATCTTTACCGTTCCTCCTGCTCAGCAGTAAATTATTTTTTATATCAAATGGAAGTGCTGTTTGTCTCATCCTCTGACCTCCGGTCTCTCTCTTTTGGACACTTTCCATTATCTTAGCACTTGGTATGCCTTCACTTGCATGCATAGTTTAAAGTTCTCCTGTGTAACCTTTTAGGACTCATTGCTGTTTGGTGTCTTGCAGATAGTACCTTGTTTTTTCCTTTCTCTTTACCTAGGCCGGAGTTTGCATGGCTTTCAGGTCCTACTAGTGTTTATTATGATTGCGAGGTGGTGTAGCCCTGGGGTCCACCTCAGGACCCCAGGTTTGAAGGTTTTCAGTGTTTTTGCTTTTACATTTGTAGCTTGTTCTAGTAAGTGACAGAGATGGGGGTTAAGAGGTAGAAGGTGTCACATCACAATAAAACAGAGTGAGGCTTAACAAAAATGAGAATGAGGCACATAATCAAATGATGAATAAAACAATTTGAGCACAGCATGGTATAGATTATTTTTTTCTTTTGAACTCAAGGCCTCTTGCTTGCTAGGCAGGCACTCTACTGCTTGAGTCATGCCTCTAGCCCTTTTTGCTCTGATTATTTTGGAGAATAGCATTTTGGTTTTTTTTGTTCAGACCAGCCTGGACCAAGATCCTATTTTAAGCTTTCTGCCCTCACTGCAATGACAGTTGCAAGCCACCAGGCCCAGCCTTTTCTACTTTGAGATGGGGTCTCTGACTTTTTTGCCCAGGCTAGCCTAAATCTGCTCTTCTCCTTATCTCAGTTTCTTGAGTATTACTGAGAAGACAGGTGCGCCCCACTACACCGAGCTATTGGTTGAGATGGGGTCTCCCTAACTTTTGACTAGGGCTGGCTTGAATCACAAACCTCCCAATCTCAGCCTTCCAAGTAGCAAGAATTACAGGTGTGAGTCACAGTGCCTGGTTTTAGGTTATTGTTTTAGACAGTTTTAGACAGTTAGTGAAACAATAATCTGAGAGGCAAGACCACTTTTAGAGATGGACGGTATCACTGAGTGTGCTTGGATAGCCTCAGTCTGACCATGTTTTTGAAAAGATGAGAAGTCAGCAGATGGTAGAAAATGCTGTGTGTATAAGAACTGGAGATAGAGAGGGAGCAGGAAGGTGAAATTTTCAAAATCCTCCCATCAAAAGCTCTGTTCTCAGACCCAGCAGGAAAGATGGAACTGTTGGTTGGCAACACTGCAAATATTCAGGTAGAAAAGAGGAAATTTCATTATGGGGATTTCTGTCTGCTTAGCAAATGGGAGAGGAGGTCACTTGCTAACATGGGGTTCAGATTGGGAGCCTGGCCACAGATTTCCTGGGAAAAGAACAAAGGAGGAGGCAAAGCTGACTCATGAGTACTGCTGGATTAAAACGGATCGAGATGCTGTGCAGCTTGAATGAAGCCTTTCATCAGAATACAGCTTTACTAGAAAGCAGAGTATTTGTTATTGTTGTTATTATTAATTGTGTGATTTATCCTGGACATAGGAAAAACAGCTTAGGACGTATGAAATTATATTGACTGGCTGCATGTGTCTTTCTTACTTTTCTCTGAGCTTAAACTTAGGTCCTCTTAATTACAAGAAACCAACATCAAGTTGAACTTGATGTTCACCACAAGTGCGATTTTGTGATTACTGTAAATCGGGGATAATCGTGCATTCTGCAGCATGCACTGTCAGTGCTTGCTCTCTGCAGTGTCGTGCTGGCTTGTGCTTCAGTACCTTTGGTTATGGTGCAACCTTTCCCTTACCCACCCACCCATCCCTTATGCTTGACTATGTAGTTTTCATCTTGGAAGGCCTTGGCTTAAACTTGACCTTCTTCATAAAGCTGTCACTTTCCCCTTACCTCTCTCTGTCTGAATAGTGAATTCTACCCAGTTCAAGTCATTTTCTTGTGATAAAGACAGTGTCTTCTATTACACTTAGATCCATCAGCAGTGTCTGTTGCCAGGCCTGTATTAAGTCTTAATAAATGTTCTGTGTGGAATTGTTGGTAATTGGTACTTTTATATCATGATTCCAATAGTGATATTTAAAATGTATACATTTCTTATACTTGTTCTTTATTATGATGCTTTGGATCATGACTGTTATCATTAAATATTTTTGGTGTTTGGATGTTTGTCATTTGAAATAGTATTCTTCCTTTAAGTTTTATTTTACAGTCTTCATTTTCATGGCTCTGTGCATGCTTCGTTGGCCCCAGGTCATGACTCTCAAGGGTGTCATGGTAACCTGGCAGAGTCCTAGGGTTGAGTTGTTCTTCTCTCCCCTCCCAGATGGGTTCAGCTGTTGTGATGCGCTCCTTCATTCTGTATTTCCCTAGTTTATTCCTGACAATAAAGTCATATCTTTTTTGCCCTGAATTTTTACTGTTATAGACAATATAAAATCATGATATTCCTGAAATTTACATGTATTTATACATAGGCAACGTGGACAATGACTTTCAATTTTAAGTTAATTCATTAATGTTCAGTAATGTTATTTATCTCCTAATTTGGATTTTATTTGGTAGTAGTGATTTACAAGGCTTATTCAAGTCAAGGAACTTTTTATATAATAAAAAGGTTGAGAAGTAATTTATTATAAAACAACTGTAAACTGTATATAGTGTTTATTGCACAGATATGCATATGGCATAAAATAGATATTTGTGTCTGTTTTAGGAATCAAACATGTTAAGTCCAGTGCAAGATGGAGCAAAGACACCACAGATTGACAGCAATAAAAGCAATAACTACCGGATTGTAAAGGAGGTCAGCTGATATGAAATATTTTATGTAGGCTATATTTACATGAAAAATAATTTTTGCTTATGTGTTACATTTAATATTGCTGATTGTTGTATTTAATGCTTTTCTTCCTTTTAAAGATTTTGATTAGGCTAAGTAAACTCTGTGTGCAGAATAAAAAGTGTCGGAACCAACATCAGCGCCTGCTGAAGAACATGGGGGCTCATTCGGTGGTTCTGGATCTTCTGCAGATACCCTACGAGAAGGTTTGTCCTTAGTTACTCTTGCCTTTGCTTTTTGATGCAGTTTCAAGTGCATCACAAAGTTATAAAGGAGTTTTTCTTCCTTACTTTTTGAGTGTCATCCCCACCTAGTGCCACTATTCCTGCAGCACACATTTAACATAAACAAGGACATGTGTTTACATGACCACACTGCAGCCTTCTGGATCTGCAAAGTGTGGCACTCTACTGTCACCAAATCTCACACACCATTCGCATCCCTCCCATTATCTCAGTCGTGTTCTGATTGACCAAACCATGCGCGTTTGGTTGTCATGTCTACTTAAGTTTCCTAATGCTGAAACTTCCGTGACATTGACTCTTTTGCAGATAGCCAATTATTTTGAAGAATGCCTCCTAATTTGTGTCATCTCTTGTTTCCTGGTATGACTGAATTAGGTTTCAGCTCTTTGACAGGACATAATAGAGGGGTGCTAATTTCTCATTGATCCCAGTATGTGGTATGTGGTTTTGACTTACCTTGTTATTAATATTGACTACTTTGATCACTTGTCTGCCAGGTTTCTCCATTTAGAAGTTCTGGTTTCTCTTTGTAATACGTGTTTTGTTAAAAGGTTCTGTGAAGCTAAGTAAATATCTCATTCTTCATCCAACTTTCATTTTTTTATTCTTACTAGTATGGACATATGGATGCCTGTTTTATTCAACAGGTTATAGTAGGTTTCTATCACTATTTTGATTCTCAGATTTGGTGCTGTGATGCCCCTTCAAGCTAGAATCTCTGTCCTCTAATGTGTGCCAATCGATCTGTGGGTACTTTCTTGCTTTCTGGCACAGTAAAGCATTCTGGTTGCATCTTGTTTTCTTTTGGCTCCAACCCTGGACTCAGCCATTTCTTATAGAAACCGCAGTTCCATTTGGTGGGGAATGGTAGTTAGGAGCATAACTCTGAGAAGTGAGCGTGAGTTTTGCTATTGAGATGTTTCTCCTCAGGCCCCCTGAATAGAAATACTATTTACTCTGTGTGTGTGTATAATTTGTGTGTGTTTGCATACAAGTTACATTCATACTTATTTTCTCACTTATCTAGACATTATTGAAAGCCACCAGTACCTCTAATTTCAAAATCACAGGGCTCGTTTTAGTTTCTTTTTTTTTTTTTTCCCACCATGTCTCTATTCTCCAACAGGGGGAAATGTGCCCATTATGTATGGTACCTCGCTCAATCTCTGATAGCCTCCAGGTTAAATACCCTCTTTATCTGCCTGGGGTTTCAACTCGATATGAGAGGCCTTTCTTTGTGTGGACCCTGCCCCTCTTGAACTCTCACTGGATTGCCTGCTCCACTTGACTTAGTTTTCCAATACGTAAATTTACAAATCATACCATTCCTAAGGTAGCATAATTCAAACTATGCACAGAGTGAAAGGCAATAGAGGTATTAAATCGTCAGTATTTATTATCAGAACTATTCTGCCTGATACTGTAACAAGGGCATTGGACACAATGTAAATTCCCTTCTAATACTGAATCTGCAGCACTGAGTGTTTTGCTATTACTTTGTTCTTATGGAACTGCTTAGTTTTAATGACTGGGATGTTCAGAAACACAAAAAGCATAGGATAAGAATTTCAAAGAAACATGAAATGTAGTAGCACAGGCCCTAATGTGGTCTGTAGGGCCACCTTTTCAGTGGGAATTGGCTGTTTCTGTGCTTAAAAAGTTTTTGTTGTCTTCTAACTATTTCTGGATCACACAAGTAAAAAATATGTTAGGAGATTTTGAAATAAAACTTTCCTATTTCTTATTTAGGAATGTTTTTGTCTTATTTATTAGTCTAGTTAATTTATCCTTAATTAAAATATGAGGTATTGGGTTTGTTCATAACCTTAGGCTGCTCGTTTGGTTATAGGTGGCATAAATGATAGACCTTTGGGTTAGTAATAATGAAAACATTAAGCTCATTTCATATGGATTGTCTTCAAAACATGAAAGCATCGAGTCTCTAACAATAAGCATGTAACAAAAGGGACAGTCAGTTGTGTCTGAACGTTTTAGATGGCTTCAGTGATGTCAAAAGATCAGTTTTAAGTCACATGTGGTGACTCATACTTGTATTCCTACCTACTGAGGAGGTGGAGTCAGGAGGATAGTGAGATTGAGGCCAGCCTCAGCAAAGGCATCTTAAGACCCTGTCTCAAAAACAACATGCAAACAAAAGGGCCAGGGATGGGGCTTAAGTGGTAGAGCACTTGACTAGCATGTGTGAGGTCTTGAGTTCAGTCTCCAGTACTGCAAAAATAATAAGAAGAACAATAACAACAGCCATTTTTAAGAAGGTAACTTTGCATTCTCTGTACATTTTGAGACCTCAGTTTCTTACTGAGCTTCCTATAAGCAATGGTAGTAGCATATGTCAGGACTTTGGAAATGACAATGGATAAGGGAAGCCACATAAGAGTTATGTGTGTTCTGGAAGAGGGGACAAAAAGAAGGAGGAGGCAAGGGGAAAGGAAAAGGAAACTGGAAATAAGAGTCAGGGGCAGAGAGATGGAAGGGGCCATTAAGGTGAAGATGACATTTAGAGAAATGTACAGGATGCAGGAAGAGAGGTAAAGTGAGTAGAGAGGAGAAAGAGCGCGAGGCAGAGCAGGGAGGAGAAAGAGTGCAAATTGACAGTAGGAAAAAAGGGGAGGGAATAGATGCTGCAAGAAGCAGCAGGAAGTAAGAAGTATGGGAAAAGAGGAGAAAGGGAAGAAGAAACAGCCAGATGCAGACATACTGAGAAAAGGAGTTTAAGAGAGGAGAGTGAGAGGCACTGAGGGGGCAGCAGAGAAGGAAGAGAAACAAAATAAAAGGGACAGAGGTGAGGAAGAGGGACCAGAGCAAGTGTGGGACAAGGCAGGAGAGGAGGAGGCAGTTATGTGCAGAGATGGGAACATGTGGTGACTGTCAGAAAGACTGGGGAGAAAGAAAGATGAACTGTGAAGCAAAGGACTGAAAAAGTGGATGAGAACGGGTATGAGGAAAAATAAGGAAAAGGAGAGAAAGATGTAAAACACAGAGAAGAGATGGGACTGGCTGGTAGAGGGTGGAGGAAGGAGGCATGGGATGGGGAGAGAGAAGTGCATATGTAGAAAAAGGATATGTGTGTTACAGCACATGTACTCAGGTTTGCTTCTCTGTCCTGTGCTACTCTTCAACTTACAGAATGATGAGAAAATGAATGAAGTGATGAATCTAGCCCACACGTTCCTGCAGAATTTCTGTCGGGGAAATCCACAGAATCAAGTTCTTCTTCATAAACATCTGAATTTGTTTTTAACTCCTGGTGTAAGTATTGTAGTGACCTTTGCTACTTACAGTAAAGTGGGTTGATTGTATTTTAGCAGCATTAATGCATAGAGTTTTTAAAGTCTTTGTTACATCATTTTACCCTATAGAGATTCTCTCCCTAAAATTACTTTTAAATTTCCACTAAGGAAACCTTTTAACTAACTTGAAAATTACACAAATCTTATGTGCAATTGACAGTTTCACTATACATGTGTAATGTTAGAAAAAAGATACGGTAGAACAGAGAACTAACTTGACAATACCATGGTAAGGTAGATTAGGAAAGTCAAAGGTGGAGCCAGCTGTGGTCTGTGGAGTGCATTTAAGCAGATCTTGAGGAAGAGCTGACTTCCAATAACATAATTAAATTCCTGGCACACTGCGCTTCATGAATACAAGGAACTGAGTTTCTCTCAGTGGTTCCTGATCTCCTTGCATTTTATAGAGAACTTGCATATAAAATGTGCCGCTGACTGCAGGCAGGGAGTTGAGTCTGAGGATGGTAGGATGAAGCTTGTCTTGTGGTCATCATGAAGCCTCCTCCTGCTCTGTGCAGCTCCTTGAGGCAGAGACCATGCGGCATATCTTCATGAACAACTTCCACCTGTGCAATGAGATCAGCGACAGGGTTGTGCAGCACTTCGTGCACTGCATCGAGACACATGGCCGCCACGTGCAGTACCTGCGGTTTTTGCAAACAATCGTAAAAGCAGATGGCAAATACGTCAAGAAATGCCAGGATATGGTCATGACAGAGGTATGTTCTCAGTGCGCATTTTATCAGTTTCACGTAAGCAATATGCTCGGTATGTATTTTCTGTCAATTTAGAGTATAAGAACCCCAATAACACCAGTGTGGAATTTTTCTATTTAATCATGACTCCTTAAGCGCAGGTGTGCTTTGTACCAGTCTACTGAATAGCACAGTGCAGCAGGAGTTTATGATTTCCTAAGAGTTTTTCCTTTTGATCCATGATGAATTTGGATGTGTTAAATAATGTGTAAAATCTTATGAGTTCAGAAGATTATTTGGAATTAAATTGACAAAGTGGTATGTTGTTAAGTTTTCAGTAATATAACAGAGTCTGAACACTGCTTGTGCTGTTGTTGCTGTTTCTGAATTATAGAGTGGGTGTTCTCTGCCATTATTTGTAAAGGCTTTGAAGAAAACCAAATTAATTAATAAAAACTGTTTGTCAAGACTTTGTTACGGTCTATGGAAACTTGCTTTGTGGAGTAAATTACACATTTAAGAAAAACAAACAGATGATGTAATTAATTTGTTTTGCCCTCTGGATTTTGATGAGTGACATTGAGGGAGATTTATGTCATGAATATGTTATTCACTGGGAACCAGCGGATGACAGGGTATTTGGATAAATCACTTCTCTATGATGGACTAGTTCTCCAGTGCCCCATGTGGATTAAGGAAGTTTCCACACATGGCTACCAGACAGTTACATGGTAGATTCATTGGTTTGGGACATTTTCATAGTTACATGCCTTCAGTTTGGAAATTAGGAGATATTGCCCGATTGGTTCAGTTTGCCCCATAGGAATCTTAAAATTAGTTCATCTTTAGACCTTGGAGTTTGGTTTTTTTTGTTGTTGTTGTTAATTAATTTATTTTTTTATTGTTTTATTATTCATATGTGCATACAAGGCTTGGGTCATTTCTCCCCCCTGCCCCCACCCCTCCCTTACCACCCACTCGCCCCCTCCTCTCCCCCCCCCCTCAATACCCAGCAGAAACTATTTTGCCCTTATCTTCTAATTTTGTTGAGAGAGAGTATAAGCAATAATAGGAAGGAACAAGGGTTTTTGCTGGTTGAGATAAGGATAGCTATACAGGGCATTGACTCACATTGATTTCCTGTGCGTGGGTGTTACCTTCTAGGTTAATTCTTTTTAATCTAACCTTTTCTCTAGTTCCTGGTCCCCTTTTCCTATTGGCCTCAGTTGCTTTTAAGGCATCTGCTTTAGTTTCTCTGCATTAAGGGCAACAAATGCTAGCTAGTTTTTTAGGTGTCTTACCTATCCTCACCCCTCCCTTGTGTGCTCTCGCTTTTATCATGTGCTCAAAGTCCAATCCCCTTGTTGTGTTTGCCCTTGATCTAATGTCCACATATGAGGGAGAACATACGATTTTTGGTCTTTTGGGCCAGGCTAACCTCACTCAGAATGATGTTCTCCAATTCCATCCATTTACCAGCGAATGATAACATTTCGTTCTTCTTCATGGCTGCATAAAATTCCATTGTGTATAGATACCACATTTTCTTAATCCATTCATCAGTGGTGGGGCATCTTGGCTGTTTCCATAACTTGGCTATTGTGAATAGTGCCGCAATAAACATGGGTGTGCAGGTGCCTCTGGAGTAACCTGCACATTCTTTTGGGTATATCCCCAAGAGTGGTATTGCTGGATCACATGGTAGATCAATGTCTAGCTTTTTAACTAGCCTCCAAGTTTTTTTCCAGAGTGGTTGTACTAGTTTACATTCCCACCAACAGTGTAAGAGGGTTCCTTTTTCCCCGCATCCTCACCAACACCTGTTGGTGGTGGTGTTGCTGATGATGGCTATTCTAACAGGGGTGAGGTGGAATCTTAGTGTGGTTTTAATTTGCATTTCCTTTATTGCTAGAGATGGTGAGCATTTTTTCATGTGTTTTTTGGCCATTTGAATTTCTTCTTTTGAGAAAGTTCTGTTTAGTTCACTTGCCCATTTCTTTATTGGTTCATTAGTTTTGGGAGAATTTAGTTTTTTAAGTTCCCTGTATATTCTGGTTATCAGTCCTTTGTCTGATGTGTAGCTGGCAAATATTTTCTCCCACTCTGTGGGTGTTCTCTTCAGTTTAGAGACCATTTCTTTTGATGAACAGAAGCCTTTTAGTTTTAGGAGGTCTATGCTATCTCTTAGTTGCTGTGTTGCTGGGGTTTCGTTGAGAAAGTTCTTACCTATACCTACTAACTCCAGAGTATTTCCTACTCTTTCCGTATCAACTTTAGAGTTTGTGTAGACCTTGGAGTTTTAAATGGAAATTATTGTCATTAAACATTGAAAGGAACGTTATAAACTCATAAAATTTACCTTTTTCAAAAGCTGTATTAACATTTGCATTAATTCTTCATTGTCTAGAAATGTGTGGAAACGAATATGATTTTGTAATCTGATCTAAAAGAATTAAAACGAGAAAACAGCAAATACTTAAACCATTCCCCTGACACTTATTAGATGAAGAGTTGTTGTGTATAAGGATATAATACATATTTTTGACACAGACCATCAAAGTGAGCGAATTAGTTGACTTTAGATATTATCAACTTAAATAAAAATAATAAACAATAATGGATTAAAAATTATATATGCTTTGCTAACTGCCAAAAAATATCTCATATTGGGGTTAGAAAATTGGTACCGATAATAGACAATAACACATTATGGTGTTTTTTTGGCCATAAAATTGCCTCCTGCTGGAATTCCCCATTAAAATTATATAACAGAATTTGAGGGGGAGTTCTTTCCTGAAAGGCTCTGTGGGTTCATTTCTTTGCCTCATTTAAGTCCTCTTTTTCTCTATTTCTCCCATCTCTACTCTTACCTCTGTTCTCTACTGATGCCTTCCCATTAACCCTGGAATTTTTCAGATCTTGGTAGAGTTATATTTGGCTCAATGTGCTGGCTTACTTATCTAGTTACTACTAAAGTGGCTAAAACAACATCTTATTCTATTTTTGTAAAGTTTAGACTTAAGAGAGCGCTTGTGCTTTGGCAGTGAAGTCCTCCATATGACGTACAGAAAAATAACTTTATTCTCTTATAGGCTTGATGTCAGTATGTAGCTCATTGGTGAGCAATTCGCTATCAGTGATGTCTGTGATGTTTAGTTCTTACCTGTCTGCTGTTTCTGTATCTCCCAGACTCGATCACTTGGCATACGACTGTAAGCTTCCTACGCTCTTGCCTTGCCATACTTCTGCTTTTGCAACGTTACCTATATTCTTGCAAGAGATGCATGTGTGTCCAGATGGATCAAGCCTTGCAAAGAGCTATAAGAAGGAACGTTTAGACTGAATGTAGATTCTCACTTGTTATCATTTCAGTTGATAAATGGGGGTGAAGACGTGCTGATATTTTACAATGACAGAGCATCATTTCCAATCCTTCTCCATATGATGTGTTCAGAGAGAGCCCGAGGGGATGAGTGTGGCCCCTTGGCCTACCACATAACCCTCGTGGAGTTGCTGGCTGCATGCACAGAGGGCAAAAATGTCTACACTGAAATCAAATGTAATTCCCTTCTGCCCCTGGACGACATCGTGAGGGTGGTGACCCACGATGACTGCATTCCTGAGGTAAGTCTGGTGAAGCTAGCACCTAAAGAGCTGTCACTGAGGTTTACATCCATCTGAGTGTCACAAGTCTTCCCCACTAATACTTATAATGAGATCATACATTTTGTTGAAGAGTTTTATTAGCTTTTTAATTTAGAAAATTTAAAAAGCATTAATGTATACTTTTTTAGTTCTATAAGAAGTTAAGAGGAAAGACCCCTTTACTGGAAGCAATTGCAAATGTCTCTTGAATTCTGAACATGGCAATGGGCCCTAATGGCATGGTTTACTTATAGCCTCAGTTATGTTCTTGAACATAAAATAGGTTATTCATAAGTGAATCACAGTCATTTGGTTGGAGGCTGGGAGAGTTCTTGCAGGATCACATATTAGATTCCACAGGTTTATCTTGCTTTATGGAATTGCAGTCTCAAAACCATGCATACATATTTTGAATTGTTCATATATCATTTTTCACCCTCTGTGTCCTAGGTGGGCTCCAATGATTAGAAAACAACAACAGCAACAACAACAAATCCCAACAAAATCCTTAGCGGAAGTGGGTTGTCTGCCAACAGTGTTCTAGTAATGGGACTTCCAGGAGTGTAAACTGAAATAAATTCTTTCTTTTCTAGTATTGTGGTGTATTATTACAAAGTTCATAAGTGTGTGATATACTGAAGATGACATAACATCAAACATTTTAAATCACAGTAATTTAAAAAGGTGTCAGGATTAAATTTCCTTTTTCCAAATAGTTCTAGGTAGTGATGGACTAGAAAGAATATTTTTGTGAAATTCCACGGAATTTTTGGCACCTCAGCCCAAGGGTACATCATACCTCAAATGGGTTGATGTAGTGCAGTGAGGAAATCTTGGGATACATCCTTATTTGGGTCCTAGTTGTGGCTGTGCCTCTGCCCATATGCAACTCCCTCTGACAACACCGTTCTTACCTTTGTGTTCACTTGAGTGACACAAAGGTGAAGATAGCTGACCCTTCACATCTTCACATCTTGACCCAAGCTTTACTTCCTCAGGAATGAGTTCCCTGGCCTCCCTTAGTCAAGTCTGGAATGGACATTTGAATTTTATTAGTTAACAAATGTCTTAGTGCACACATTCTTTTCCAAGAGCATATGCTCTAGGACAGTAACAGGCAAGTCTGTGTCTGTTCATTATTGTATTGTCTGAACCAGAGCTGACACTCAATAAATATGTTTTGAATTAATTAAATAATGAGTCAGAATCCTATATCCTTCCTAATCATGTGACATACTCAACTAGTTACTTCTTCCATCTTCAATTTCCAAATTTTAAAGTAAAATAATTGTATTATTTACCATATAGGATTGATGGAGGATTCTAACGTGTACTCTCTCTCTGTTTTTTTTGTTTGTTTGTTTTTGTTTTTGGCAGTACTGGGGTTTGAACTTGGGGCCTTACATTTGCTAGGTAGGAACTCTGCCACTTGAGCCACACCTCTAGCCCAAGGAGGATTCAATTAAGTAAGATAGTGTATACAAAGTGCTGAGGGTGTTTGTCACATAGTAAACACTGAATAAATTTTAGCTTCTGTGAGGATCATTGACACTGACTGTGGGAGGAAGATGGGTACAGATCTCTCCCTACCCTTCAACCATCCTGGACGTAGGCCCCTGCCATTGACAGCTGTTAGACCCCAGTCAAGCAGGGGAAGCCCTAGAAGAGCATGAAGCTGGCCCTGAATTCCTAATGGTTCTAACTTGGATTCTGTGAACCCCCTGAAATGATTTACATGATTTTTTTTGTGGTTCATTTTTCTTGGAGATTTTTTAGACTACTAGTATCTGGAAGATGATAGGCTTGACTTGAGTAAAGTGCTTGTTCTCACATCAACCACTGGGCATAGGAGAATGGAGAACTAGGCCATGTATTCAGTCCTGGGGGTCAGGGCAGCAAAAGAAGGGCAATGGCAGTGCATTCTGGGTAGATGTGAATTTTATTTACCCTTTCATAACTGATATTTGGAAATGATCAATAAAGAAAATGAACTTTCTTTTGTATTTGAAAATTGCACAGGTGAAGATTGCTTACGTGAACTTTGTTAATCACTGCTACGTTGACACAGAGGTAGAGATGAAGGAAATCTACACAAGTCATCACATTTGGAAGCTGTTTGAAAGCTTCTTGGTGGATATGGCAAGGGTGAGTCAGCTTTCACCATTGGATACTATTCACAGTTAATACACACTAAACAGTATTAAACATCTGCATTAAAATTTTTAGTTAAGTACACTACTTTTTGATTCATTCATGATCTTGGGCATGAGGTTCATGAGATTGTGAAATTTACTGAGTTGACATAAACAAAATACCTACTACAGCGTAAATAACAACAGATAAAGCATGCATTTTTTACCTTTAAAGTGATTCTATTTGTCTGTTATTAAGTGGAATATCTGTAGTCTTCTTACATTGGTTAGAGAGCATGTTGGCAGGGTTACTTTCTATTCAGCTCTCAGCATGAAAGCAAATTAAAACTGGAGATGGAAGAGGCTGAGAGAGGGCTGGGTAAGTACTTGACCAGACTACTCAGGAGTAAGCATTGCTCAGTTGTTGGCTTTTGAGTCTTGCCTGGAAGCATGCTTTGATAATTTAATCATCTGCCTTTTTTGTAAAATTGTGTTTTTCTTTTCACTTTGAATCATTTCCTCTTGTTTCTTGGGGATGGGTTATGGAGGGACATGTGGAGCTGTAGACTAGCTGGCATATATTTTGCTCTCTTAATATTGAGCATGTGTATGAGCAATGAAAAGAAGGAGTGAATTTTCTTAATAGGTAACACTATATTTTCTTTGTCCTTTTCTTTTTTATACTGAATGATTATAATGCCAGGGTCTATTATTTTAGTTTTATAAAAATCTTTTCTAGTTTTTCCTTGAAAGTGGTGGGACATACAATTCAAGTAAGCATTTAACTAGTAGAAGATCATACATAGATCACTCCTTAAACCTATGATGATTATCCTGTCCTAGTTCCTTTCACCTTCCTATATTCCTGAGGACTGGGATTTCATGAAAGCCTCAGGTAGATGTATTTGGAGGAGAAGATACATTACTTTTATCAGCACCAGGACCAAATACCTGATGGAAACAACATAATTATTTTGGATCATGGTTTCATGGGGTTCATTCCTTGGGTGTTTGATCACATGCACTTTGATGTAACATCATGGTGGCAGGAGTATGTAGATGAGGAAGCTGTTTACCTCCTGGCTGACAGGAAGCAGAGAGAGTAAGAAAGGGAATGAGAACCTCCAGTGACCTACTTCCTTCAACTAGGCCCCATCTAAAGTTTCCAGAACCTTTGAAGATAGTGCAACCAGTTGGGGACCAAACAGTCAACACATGAATCTGGGAGCATTCCATATTCAGTTAATAGCGGAAGGGCTAGTGAAATCCTTATTTCCATGGTGTTATAAGGATGGTTGCCAACTGCTATGCATTAGTTTACTGCCTCTGTTCCATCCTTTTTGGAAAGAGGGTCAATAAAGTTGATACTGATTGCAAACCCTGACTCCCAAGAGGATCCTTTGGTAATTCAGAGAATCATGTGTTATTTCAGTCCAGGACAACTTTTTAGTTAGTCAAGATTTCCAGGTAGAATATGCTTATTTTACCTTTGGTGTGGTGCTGTGTGTGAGAACTGCACTGAGCTCAAGTATATGTAAAGCTCCTGATTTGCATCATTTCTATGCAAATAGAAGCCACTATTCCTTATCTCAGGCACAACTAGAGGAAGCATCCTGCTTTATATAGCTTTGAGCATACCACTCATTGATTCCCACTGTCCTTGTGAAAACCTTGTATCTGGCCAGCCATAAGAATCCTGAGTCCTTGAGGTAAAGGATGATTTCTGTGCCATGCCTAAGCTTTAAAACTGCACATGCAGAAGATATTAAAAGATTATGGACTGATTTGCAGAGCTGTAGGTGCTACCCACTGAAGATAAGCTCGAGAGAGACCAAGGTCATATTCCAGCCAGCGTGAGTTAGAAACCTGAAAAAGATTTCATTTCTTAAACTAAAGAAAGCCAAAGATAACAGCCATTCATTGTGCCACCTTGGAAACACTTTCTGTTAACAAAGGCAAAAGAGTGTAGATTTATGTTCTTTAAAAAAAAGCTGCATGTAGGAAGTATTTTTATTTTACATAGTTTGATTAAGCAGATAACTCATGTTATTTATTATATAAAGGCTTTGGGGGAATTTCAAGACTCTTCATGTCTCACCACTACAGCATAGCTGTACTGGAAAAGCATTTGCTTTTTCTCCCTTTTATTTATATTTTAAAGCAGCAGCCCATTTGTCTCTTCACCAGGATTGACAGGAAATCACCTTCCTGTTTCAGGGAAGGAAAAAGAAACCTGACTTTCCCATATTTATGATTCTCTCTTTCCCCTTGGAGAAAAATTAAACTAGCATAAACTTTCAAATTAAGTGTGGTTAAGTGAGTAGAATGTGGCCTTCTGGGTATGCATAGTTCTCAAAACTTAGGTAGCATCAGAATTACCTTGTTATGTCACCTCGCTTAACCACAGGTTGTTGGGCCCTGTCAGCAGTTTCTGACTCACTATCTGGAAGGCCGAGTATCTTTAACAAGTTCCTAGGTGAGAATCACTGTAGTACAGAATCATAGTTAAGATGGGAATTTCAAAGGAGTTAGTCTGACCAGAGGTCAAGGCTAGACTCTGCTTTTTTTTATTTATTTTTTTGGTGTATATGTGTGTATGTGTGTGTACTGGGGTTTGAACTAAGGGCCTTACACTTGTTAGAAGGTGCTCTACCACTTGAGCCACTCCACCAGCCCCCAGACTCTGCCTCTTAATAGCTTGGTCATCTTGGGCAAGGTAGTTAACTCCTTTGACCCTGAGTGTCCTTATTTATAAAAGGAATTTAATCATGACATTCTTCATAGGATCTGGGAAGATTCAGTGAGATAATGCAGTGATCATACACATTGGCACGTAGTAAAAGAGCAGGTAACATTGCCCATATTGTCACCAGCAGTATTATTAAAAGGTCATAAGGAGCCTTTTGAGCACTTTCAAGAACCTTTCCCGGGGGGCTGGTGGCTGCCTAGCAAGTGTGAGGCCCTGAGTTCAAACACCAGTACTGCACCTCCCCGCCATAAAAAGAACCTTCCAAGACATAAAAAAAAAATAATAACACAGAATATAACCAAAAAGGAGACCATTCAGCACAGTCAAGAGCCAGAAGCCATATCCAGGAAGCTAGACTTGCACAGCCACAGTTGACATGAATGGCCATAGAGGAAGTGAGTCAGCAAGGTTGTGAAGTCCTAGAATGGTTGATTTATAGCAGTGGTAAATGGTGAATAGACTCTAGAAGAGAGGAATTCTTTAAGTTGAATCTAAGACTCATAGCATCTTAGTGTTGGAAGAATTAGTTGTCATATCATCCAACTTAATGTCTAGTTAGTTCATAGTTGCCAGCATCTAACCAAACGTTTCTATTAACATTGACATTGTTAGTTTTTGAGGCTTTTGGTTTTATTACTATAGAACTTAATTATTAAAAATTTTTATTTATTATAATTTTTACCTTGAATTCCCCTCTCCAATTCAGTTAAGCAAAGATCAAATGTTTATTAGAAGTAAAAAACTCTTCTTGTAAGTGGTCTTCTGTGAAATTGTAAAAGAATGAAACTCTAAGGTCTTTTAGGTTGGTCTCACAGTTTTGCCTTTGAGGTTCAAAAGAAATGATTTGCTAGATGACTCTCCCAGCTTGTTGTAGAATGGGAAGCCTTTCTCTAGCAGTTGCTAAAACACAACTGTCTTGTCTTCCAGTATTTCTTCATGTATTGCATGAAGAAATTGATTCCTCTTCTGTATGGTTTCTGGGATTCTTGTTTTCACATACTCTTGGGTTCTAACTCTAGTCTGTATTTCTATGTAAATGTGTATCATTTTTTTCTTTTATTATTCATATGTGCATACAAGGCTTGGGTCATTTCTCCCCCCGCCCCCACCCCCTCCTTACACCACTCCGCCCCTCCCTCTCCCCCCACCCCTCAATACCCAGCAGAAACTATTTTGCCCTTATTTCTAATTTTGTTGTAGAGAGAGTATAAGCAATAATAGGAAGGAACAAGGGTTTTGCTGGTTGAAGATAAGGATAGCTATACAGGGCATTGACTCACATTGATTTCCTGTGCGTGGGTGTTACCTTCTAGGTTAATTCTTTTTGATCTAACCTTTCTCTAGTTCCTGGTCCCCTTTTCCTATTGGCCTCAGTTGCTTTTAAGGTATCTGCTTTAGTTTCTCTGCGTAAGGGCAACAAATGCTAGCTTTTTAGGTGTCTTACCTATCCTCACCCCTCCCTTGTGTGCTCTCGCTTTTATCATGTGCTCAAAGTCCAATCCCTTGTTGTGTTTGCCCTTGATCTAATGTCCACATATGAGGGAGAACATGATTTTGGTCTTTTGGCCAGGCTAACCTCACTCAGAATGATGTTCTCCAATTCCATCCATTTACCAGCGAATGATAACATTTCGTTCTTCTTCATGGCTGCATAAAATTCCATTGTGTATAGATACCACATTTTCTTAATCCATTCGTCAGTGGTGGGGCATCTTGGCTGTTTCCATAACTTGGCTATTGTGAATAGTGCGCAATAAACATGGGTGTGCAGGTGCCTCTGGAGTAACCTGTGTCACAGTCTTTTGGGTATATCCCCAAGAGTGGTATTGCTGGATCAAATGGTAGATCATGTCTAGCTTTTTAAGTAGCCTCCAAATTTTTTTCCAGATGGTTTGTACTAGTTTACATTCCCACCACAGTGTAAGAGGTTCCTTTTCCCCGCATCCTCGCCAACACCTGTTGTTGTGGTGTTGCTAATGATGGCTATTCTAACAGGGGTGAGGTGGAATCTTAGTGTGGTTTTAATTTGCATTTCCTTTATTGCTAGAGATGGTGAGCATTTTTTCATGTGTTTTTTGGCCATTTGAATTTCTTCTTTTGAGAAAGTTCTGTTTAGTTCACTTGCCCATTTCTTTATTGGTTCATTAGTTTTGGAGAATTTAGTTTTTAAGTTCCTATATTCTGGTTATCAGTCCTTTGTCTGATGTAGTTGGCAAATTTTTCTCCCACTCTGTGGGTGTTCTCTTCAGTTTAGAGACCATTTC